ATATTCTCCGGGGAACTCGTCCCGGATATACGCCATATATCGTTGCGTCGACGATGGCCCGCCAGCGTTGTTTGGCGGTGAAACCACTTAAAGGAAAATCTTTACATAAAGGATGATCTTCAAAACTTAAATAATTATTTAAATGAAATCTGTAAATAGATAGTATTTTATGAGTAATTTTAATATAAATTGGTTCTGTTGGGAGTAACTTGCCATCACTTCACATAAAATCACATCCTCGGACTCCAAAATCCTTTCAAATATCTTCACAGCAGTAGCTCTTGCACGATTAGGAATTTTCTGGACGAAGGTCATCGATCCCTATTGGGGTCGGACAAAACGCAAAAATGCGAATGCCACCCTAACTCATGTCAATAGTAGACATGACAAGTTCTGACAGTTTTATATTGCGACTATCAGCTTAGTTACGGCGAAGAAACGGCTGCATCCTCCATGTCCCTAAGTTTCGAAAAGTACAGGGAACGACGGAAATTCTTCCCCCGTAGTACTAGAGAGATATCTTGAAATTTGTATAGTACAATAACATTTCGAAAGTTGGGTTTTGCTGGATTTATTACATTTATCTTTCAGCTGATGATGACTGCATTGTGTTTGGTCAAAATTTTGGAATTTCGACGTCAATGAGTGAGTGCTCGCGACCAAGTTGTTGCGACCAAGTTACAAGTACAACTAGTAAATTCACAACTAGTCAATACTTCAAGTAAACCAAACCGTCACTGAGACAGAGCTTTCGTGGACGAGAGATTGAAAACCCCACATGGCATTTCTTCCCCATCGGCAATCCTTCGCTATATAATGGCTAGCCTCTTCTCGGCTGCGGACACCACATAGCCATTTCTGGTAGAGCTGTTAATGCATTTTGTGGGAGCTGTCTGCGGTTTTTCACATCGATTTTGCGGAAGATGGCGTACATAGTTATTCAATACATCGAACCAGATACTTCTGTCGTTGTGAGTAAACCTCTAATCAATGAGGAAAGTAGAGTGTATATTTTGACTTAATTAATTATTGAGTGAAGTTGTCTTCTTGAAGCGATAAGATGAAAACAATTTCACTCTGGTGCGATGTTTGAGACTTTGTTGCTGAAATTAGATTGATATGGTTACTGTACGGTTGAAGTGGCGTCACAGAATGACAGCAGGTACCAAAATAGGCAACCTTACTTTGGCATCATGTGCGCCAGGTTGATCAATTAAGGATAATGAAGCCATGTGGATACAAATGGTAAGTAAACTACGTATCAGAAACAACATATTTATTTTTGTTTGACGACAGCAAGATCAAGTTGTATCATGTCTGTGGTTGGACGTGGATGATACTGTCATCAATTGGCTAAAAGTATTTTAATTTCATGTGGATGGTTTTGGATGTCCATAATATTAATATTCCAGAAGTATGGTCAAGTACCACGGGGGAAGTACTTCCGTCGTTCCCTGTACTTCTCAATCATATTATTGTTTGTGACGCATGTATGGCGATGTGACTTTTGAAGGGTAAAACTGTCCTCTCCAGATCTGCAATCTATAGACACCCCTATATTTTATTCCATTTAGAAAATAATACGGTTTATCAAATCTGGACAAGGTATAAGTTTTGGGGATCGCATGATGCGGATAGAAAATGGACCAGCAAAATAGAGTAAATTAACAGAAAATCTCATAAATTAATGCAAATCAAGAAACGCAGCATGCTGCCCCATATGCGTTGGAGAATATTTCATCGATTCAATCGAAAATGATCCGTCAATCTCCGAATAGCTTCAGTGTACCAGTGATATTTGTTCATACTATGGGCAGTGCCGATCCCACGGGACCTCGCACAACGGAAGACCGCTGGTTTCATGCCATTCCTGCTTCTGCGTCGTGGCGGGACCACGTCCCATCGTCACATGTGTTGCCATGAGACAGCAGGGCGTGGCTGCTTCGTGGAAAAGTCCGCATAATGTTACTATCTTGGCGCCGTTCTAAGTTAATACTTCCAACAATCGTAGGGTCGAACAGATGCTTTGCGTGATGATAAGTCAATTCGATCTCGCGCCGCACGCGACATCATCGATCGTTTCCGAGCTTTACCAGCATCGTGCATGGATGAAGCGAGTGGGTCTAAATGCCTCAATGTTAGCGTTGCGCACTTGAAGATGATATCATTCTTATGCACGCATTGTGACTGCGATAATTCTGTAAGCACATTTACGTGCGACCGTACGAACTTGCAAGCGGCTTCAAAAGTCGCCGAAGGATTCCTCGAAGGTGTATGCCAAGAAAGTGGTACCGCGCCAACGTCGTAGGCAAATGAGCGCTGTTGTGTATTCGACGTGGCACATGCAACGACGAGATCACAGCCAGGTATCGAGTCCTGGACAAGTCCAAGCACATCCGCCGGCCGGTGGTTTGAGATGAATTCGTCGCCGAGGGTGTGCAATGATCACTTGCAGTGTAGGTACAGCAGGTCTAATGTGGACCACCAACTGCCATCCTTTCGTAGGAAACACAATACGTAAACCTGTGACATGGCCTGTGCCATGGCCGAAAGGAATGTCCATCGGTGGTGTTGCCACGTTTTAAAAGAAACTTCCTGGCTTATCCGAAAATCGACCATGAAATACGGATTGTTGTTGGATAATACAGGATATCCTCGCCCAATACACCAATCAGAGGGCAAGGACTCGGACTTGCTGTTACAAATGCTGATGATGCCACTCACTCACGACTAGCTTTCAACGAGCTTGAGCCTGTGTACGGCGCTGCTCGTGACCAACTGATGCAACTTCACGCAATATACCAAGAAGGTCACCTCATTACGAGCTCAGCAACCTCCTACCTCGAACTAAAATTAGCCCTGGGGTCGGCCGCCTTATGGGACGACGTGGAGATCTCATCTAAGTACGGTGTTTCGACAGGGTATGCATTCAAATAAGGACTTTTCATTGTCCACGTCGTCGTGGTTTCCCAGCGATGAACTAAAATGTTTAGGGTATTTAGTTGAATAAGGTATTTGATCGGCTGAAACTCCCACAGAGGGGGTGTTGTCTTGGAATTTGTATACCGCCATGCTTCCAGGCCAAGATGGCCACTCCAAACATACATATTTGGATATAAGAATCCTCGGCGACATCGTAGGACGAGGAGGCTACGACGAGTTGGAGAGCGCGCGCGAATACGGGACGCTCCTATCTATCGAGTGGTATTTGAGTGTCTTGATACCAACCCGCGAGGACAGGTACGGCGACTCCTCTTGCTCGGACGAGGAAGCATCATCCGATGACAATGGTAGACTTGACCGCCGCCGCCTGCCTGCATCCCATGGACAAGACGTTTGTGGGCGATTTCGGGCTTGGCGATACAACGAACCTGAACATTTTTCCATTCAACCCTGCCGGGCCTGGAATTCCGAGCAATGGCAATGCAATGGGAACTACGACCAACTCAATGAATTCCCTCATGGCAAATCACATGAACTCGATCATGGGCGCCAACCCAGGGATGAACATGGGTCAATACAATGCGTATCAAATGGGAAACATGGGAAACATGTTCATGCCATCGATGCCGACTGCGTATAACAACAACGGTGGCATCCCAGACGACTTGGCTGGAGCAGGAGCTGCCACTGGCACCGTGCCGCTCGACTTTCCTGACGATTTCAACACTCAAGCCGCATCCGCAGCTGCGAACATGATGAGCAACCCCAACATGCATATGACCAACGCGATGATGATGAACAATCCCATGATGATGAACCAGTTCAACGGCGGCAATCCCAATGGTTTTCAGCAAATGATGGGCAACCCGGCCATGTTTGGCATGAACAACGGCATGATGACCCCTCAGCAACAGCAGTTCTTCCGACAGCAGCAGTTTGCACAGCAGCAACTCATGCAGGCCAGAATGATGGCAGCCCAAGCTGCAAACGCCCAAGCGCAGCAACTGCAGCAACAACAGCAACTCCAACTGCAGCAGCAACAACAAGCCGCGACCCCCGTTCCGACGTGGCAATCGGAGAAAAACGACACGACTATTCGTCACGAAGTGATCAATAAGATTGTCGCGTTTCTCCGCGGTCAGAAGCCAAATGCCCCCGTGGACTGGATCCGACGACTGCCTCAAATGGCCAAGAAGCTCGAGGAAAAACTGTACCGCAACGCCAAGTCCAAAGAAGAGTATTTGAATGACTCGACGCTCAAGGCCCGGCTGCAGGTCGTCGCACGCAGCTTCCACGCGTTGCGCAACCCGAACACGCCGCCAGAACTGGCCGGGTTTTGCCAAAAAGTAGCATTGATCACGTCCAAACTGCCAAATCAGGCCGTCGCTGAGTACCACCAGAATGTACAAAACATGCTGACGGATCAGGAAAAGTTCAAGCCAGGGTTGCTCAACCAGCAACAACGGCTCCTCCTGCTGCGGCATGCGTCGTGGTGCCAGGAACAAACTGGATGCAAGGCAACTCCGCACTGCGCCGATATGAAAGCGCTGTGGAGTCACATCGGGGGCTGTACGAACACGACATCGTGTCAGTTTGAGAATTGCACGAGCTCCAAGTTTGTGCTGTCACACTTCCAGCAGTGTACCAACTCGCAGTGCATCGTGTGCAGCGTCGTGCGGCAGCCAGTGGAGGCCAAGGACGTGAATGGTGGATTAATCATGGACCCACAGCTGGCACTCCAAAAGCTGAATTCCCTCAAGCGATCTGCTTCCGAGGTCAGCGTGCCTGCTCAAACACCGGTCGTTTCATCACAACCGATTCCAATGCCGCCAACTCCCATCCCCGCCGCAACCCCCCAGTCCATTCCAGGTGCCCATCACTTTTTATTCGGATCTAACTTTCCTGCAGGCCAACCTCTTGTTCACACAGCGGCCACTCCCCCAAACTCTCAGCAATTTGCATCGCAGATGGCTGCAATCCAGCTAAAATTCAAAGACTGGAGTATTGTGCAACTACAGGAACACAACAAGAAGCTCGAGATGTGGGCAGAGCAACTGAAAAACCAAATTCAAATGATCACGGCCGAGTGCACCAAGCAAGTGGAGCTGTTCCGCATGGCGCTCGACCCCGCCGCCAAGGTCCAATACCACACTCAAGCCGAGGAATTGCAGAAGCAGCTCAAAGAGTTGAAGGCCAAACTCTCGCGGTGTGCTCACCAGCACAAAATTATGACCCTCACGATCCATGGACGGCAGAATGGCGGCGCGAATCCGATGATGCAGCCGCAGCATCAAGCACTGCTCAACCAAGCGGCGATGAACCAAGCAGCTGCGCTCAACCAGATGAACCATGCGACGGCCATGTACCAAATGAGCAGTCAGTCCATCAACTACCCTCCGATGACGCCATTGCCCTTGAACCAAGCCCCCATGATGCAGCAGCTCAACACCAATGAATCGATGCAGAACTTGCTCCTCAAGACAACCCCTCCTGTCCAGCCGCCGCCACATCCGTCCAATATTCCCATGCTTGAAACGTCGCTGATACAGACGCCGGTAGTGACCCCGCCACCGACTGCCGTCGTGATTAAGGACGAACCGCCAGCTCAGAAAAAAGTGAAATTGGAACCAACTGTGCACATCGAACAACAGGCGGAACCATCTGCGGCACCTGCCGCGGCAACTGCGACGACAGTCACCTGCATGTTGTCCCAAATGACCGACGAAGAAATCCAGGCGCATATTGATTCGCTCCAGCAAAACCACTGTGCCTCCATGACGGTGGTCCAGCTGAAGAAGCGGTTAGACCCGATCCTGAAAAACATGATGGAGCACAAGTTCGGGTGGGTGTTTAGCACCCCCGTGGACCCCGTCGCTCTGGGCATTCCCGACTATTTCAACGTGATCAAACGCCCGATGGACTTTGGCACAATCCGAAAAAAGCTCGAGAGCAACTATTACAAGCACATTTACCCGTTTGCAGCCGACGTTCGGCTCACGTTCCGCAATGCCCTCACGTTCAACAACGAGGGCGAAGAAGTGTATTCGCTTGCGAGTGACATGCTCAAAGACTTCAACTGCGAAATGGCCAAGCTTGAGGCGGAAATCAACGTCGAGGAGGTGATGGCGCGCGAGAAGGATGGTGCGTGCAGGCTGTGTGGCCTCGAGTCGCTCGTGTTCGAACCTGCCATCTTGTACTGCAATGGCGAGTGCAACACAAAAATCCGTCGCAACAACTACTACTTTTGCTCGGCCGACAACAAGTTCCATTGTTGCGTGACGTGCCATCCGAACCTTCCCGAGAGCATCCCCAACGCGGACGGCGTGCCGTACGTCAAAGCGGAACTGACGCGAAAGAAGAATGACGAGGTCCATGAAGAGCCATGGGTGTGCTGCGATAAGTGCAACCAGTGGGTTCACCAGATATGCGGCTTGTTCAACATGAAGAACGACAAGACGGAGAAGGACTTGAAGGCTGACAAGGAGAAGGGTCAGGACTTTGTGTGCCCGTCGTGCGTGTTGAAATCCGGTCGGAAGGGGGTCGAGAAAAAGGTGTGGACAGCGAAATCGCTGCCTCGGTCCAAGCTGAGCGACTACTTGGAGCGCCGTGTGGCCAAAGTGATGGAAGCGGAGATCACGGCCGAGATGCGGAAGGAAGTCCCGAGCACCGACAAACTCATCATTCGTCAGGTCAGCAACATCGAGAAAACGCTGATGGTCCGCGACAAAATGTACCAGCGCTACAAGGACGCCAAGTACCCGTCCGAGCACCGGTTCAAGTCGAAATGTTTGTGCATGTTCCAAGAAATTCACGGTGTCAGCGTCCTTCTCTTTGGCATGTACGTGCACGAGTTCGACCAGCAGGAAGCCAAATGCAACTCGCGTCGAGTGTACGTGAGCTACTTGGACTCGGTCAACTACTTGGAGCCTGCGTACTTGCGGACCAAGTTGTACCACGAGATCCTGATCGGGTACCTGGACTATGTCAAGCAAAGGGGCTTCCACACGGCGCATATTTGGGCATGTCCGCCGCTCAAGGGCGACGACTACATATTGTACTGCCACCCAGAGACTCAGAAAACCCCCAAGAGCGATCGGCTGCGGCAATGGTACATTCAAATGCTTATGAGGGCGAAAGAGGAAGGGATTGTCGTGGACATTAACAACATTTACGACGAGTACTGGTCGACGGCGCAGGCATCGCCGATGGAACTACCGTATTTTGAAGGGGATTACTGGGTCGGGTTGGCCGAAGAGCTGATTGAGAAGCTCGACGAAGACGACAAGACAAACAAGAAGAAGAAAGATCAGAAGAGCAAAAAGCCCAAGCAGCAGAGCAAGGACGCTGCGACAGAGGTGGAGTTTCAGGACCCGCTGATGAAAAAGCTCGGCGAGCATATTTACCCGATGAAGGACGACTTTTTGGTGGTCAAGTTTTTCCCGTCGTGCTCTCAGTGCAAAGTTATGATCGGTCAAGGCACAATCTGGAAAGAAAGCAAGACGTGCCTGTGCGACGGGTGTTACCAGAGCCAGATCCTGAACCAGGCGAAGAAGGAAACGCCGCCGTACATCCCGATCGTGCTCACGCTCAAGGGCAAATGCACCGACCCGGACGACATTGTCGAAAGCGAAGTGTTCGACACACGGCAAGCATTCCTGTCGCTGTGCCAGACCAACCATTACCAGTTTGACGAGCTACGGCGGGCCAAGCACACGTCCATGATGACGCTATTCAATCTGAGCCAGCTCACCAACAGCTACGTGTACAGTTGCAACGTGTGCAAGGCAGAAATCACGAGCGGCACGCGGTGGCACTGCAACACGTGCGTCGACTACGACGTGTGTGCGTCGTGCTACGACAAGAAAGTCAATGTCCACGTGCACATTTTGGAAGCGGTCGGGACGATCCCGGACGAAGCCAAGAAGCAGTTGGAGGAAAAGAAGAAGAACATTGCGCTGACCATGCAACTCCTCGTGCACGCGAGTAGCTGCGAGGAAGGCGGGTGTTCCTCGACCAACTGCGACAGGATGAAGGTGCTCATACGCCATGGCTCCCAGTGCAAGCTCCGGGCCACAGGCGGATGCAACACGTGCCGACGTATCTGGACGCTGCTGCAGATCCACGCGCGTCAATGCCGCACGACCGAGTGCCGCGTCCTCCGGTGTAATGACCTGCGCGAGCACTTGCGGAAACTGGCGCTGCAGCAGCAGCTCATGGACGACCGACGGCGAGCCGCTGTCACGGAACAGTACTCGAGGCAAGGCACCGAAGACAAGGTCGAACAACCAGAAACAAGTACTAGTGGTTAGTGTAGAATATGTTGAATGTGGCATGAGTATGGCGCAATCGACACCCGTGTTGCGAAATCTCGCGTTGATGTGGCCGTGATCGAGTCCTGTCTCGTGACCCGATCAGGTTGTGTATGCGCACTGTGTCACGGTGGTCAACCAAGGGTGGGGGACACCTGGAATAGATCCCGCTCAACGTGCTGTGCACCGACTTGAAAGCATCTCGAGGACCATGCTGGGTGTTGTCCAAGAGGGGGAGAGTAGCGTTGCACAGGGGGCTGTCGATGACCAGTCCCTTGGGACTGCCGGGTGGCACACACCAACAACCCCACCATGTTCCTGACTGGGACATGACTTTGGTCGCACTAGACGGAGGATCCGACGTGCTTGCCTTGCGCTCCATCGCAGAGCTAGCACGTCCACGGGATGAAACCCAGACGACAGCTGCTGTACAAGTAAACATGAAACTTCAATTACAACTACTGTCGCAGACGTCTAGGGCACTTCACCATTATGCCGCAGCAGCATCGAGGTCCGTTGGAGGGACCGTCCTCCTCTCGTTGGAGCACTCCACGAATCCATTCTTGGCCAGCAAATTGCCCGCGGTACGAGGGCTCCTCGTTTTTCGATACCAAGGCAGCCCATCTTCCACGACATGCAGTTTGCACTATTGGGAACGTTTCCGTGATCCACGTGTTGAGTACTTGCACAAGTCCCAATGGGTGTGCTGAAGAACGCGACCAAACCGTACCCTTCGCCACCCTTACCTGTTGTGTCCGTAACACAGTCGAGTGTGGATGGAACGAGCGAGGACGACAGAGGACAGTCCACTCTCCCGCTGCTGGTGCGTCCAACTCGGCGCCTCGTCTGGCTTGTTTCCGGGACGAAATTCTTTCCAAGCATGTCTGGGGATTCGACCTCTCAACGCATCGGCACTCGACCGGACGGCTTGTCTCAACCAACCCACTGTAGTCACCCACAGTGGGTGTGGTCCACACGAGGTACGCAGGAGTCTGCGCAATAGCCCATCGCGGTGCCATTCAAAATGCCCGTCACCGGGATCTGATTTGGTCCGAGTTGTTGAGCACAGGGCACGTCGCCAAAGTCAGCGCTCCGGCTGGGTGACTACCACCTTGGTCATTTTTGAATTGCCAGCTTTCGACCATGACCAGCGCCGTCGCCACCTCGGACAACGTGTGCAAGTACTCATACAAAAAGTGCTTGAATCCTCGCACGACCAAGCGCAATGGAACGCTGCACTCGTTGTGCGAGTTCCATCGCATCAAAGCCAACACCCTCCAGCAGATTTACGCCAAGAAGAAGAAGGATGCGGCGCTCCTGATGGAAGGGTCCACGACAGCCAACGCCATGTACGACAGTGAAGTCGACGTCGACATGGAAGAGCTCTTCGTCGGCGATCACGAGAACCTGCCGTGGCCGATCGCGTTCGACTATTCCAAGCCCCACTTTATGACGGAAGAGGACTGTAAAATTCTCCAGGAACTGCTGTGACCGACCTCGTGGCGTCGACAACTAATTTAACTGCATTTGCTACCCCTCCCCATGCGCACTAGTGCATCGAGTAAACACACCAGGGGTCGCAGCTTTAGCTCCATAACGCTTGGACCTGAACGCCGTGGAAGAGGTATTCTAGCGTGTCCCTTCGATCCAACCTTGAATCAACAATTAGATTCTGCAACGATTTCTCGAGTCCAAGCAATGCAGCGGCATTATTCCTCCACGCCACCTTGGAATCTCGAACGCAAGTACATCTCGACGTTGTGCTGTCCGGCGTTTGCTGCACACACAATCGGGACAATGGTCAGTTCTTCCAGGCGATGCTCGTAGAGAAATTGCACCACTGCAAGATGACCAGCATGTGATGCATGATTCATTGCAATCCGTGCGCTTTGGGGGTGGCGATCGACATGATGGAAGACGAACTGGACCACATCCACATGGCCGGCCGCCGCAGCCTTGGGCAAAGCGAACATGGAGAGGGGAAAGCCAGATGCGCACAGATACTCAACTGTTTCCATGTAGCCCATCTGTGCGGCGGCGTCGACGTGTCGGCTGTCGATGCCCCCGGGCCGACAACCGAGGTATTGCGCCAAATAGGAATTGGTGTGGTGGCACTGCAGTGCTTCAAGCAGACCTGCGGCCTTTGCTTCGTCATGCGCAAAAGTTCGACTGTGGAATACGTGTAGCATTATGGCAAGTTCTTCGGTCAGGCCATCTTGGAACTGCGTGACGTCGCGCACAAGCGACGGCAGGACCAGCACCGCTTTTGCCGCTGCCATGGATCAAGTGGTTCGGAACGCATGTTTCGAACAGCGTTCCAAACAATCTGTTGTTTGAAACACGTGTTTTACAAACGTCGCGATCCAATTCGCGCGACGGCTCCACCAAGTCGATGGGACTCCATAGCAGCCTCGTCTTCATCGTTTCATGTGCTCTCCATGCACGAGGCTTCCGCGTCGTCGATCTGGCCAATTTCACATCCCTGGCTGATGTTCCACCCGCAGTGTTCCCGCCGTACGCAAACGGATTCGTCGGGTACTATGGCGACCCATCGTCGACGTTTTTTCGTGACCACATCAACTCTGGCGCCATCTTTAACCCTGAAATCCCAGTGCAATGGAGCGGTGTTGACATTCTCCGTACGTGTCATTCCCTTCCATGAAGATCACTTCGAGGGAGGTCTGCGTAGAGAGATGCCCTGGAATGGTTGGACCATTTAGCGATGGCGAATACTACTGCGTGGGGAAGGAGTACGGGTTCTGCGACCAGCGGTCCAGTACTTGCTGGTGCAACAAAGGATACGAAGGGTTAAACTGCACGCAATGCATCCCGGAGTACTACAAGCACGGCGGTCTTTGCTATCCCAAGAGTAATCGTACCTTCCCAAATTGCTTGTCGTCTTCTCATGATCGTTCTGTAGAGAATTGCCCGAGCGACTGCTCTGGCCAAGGCACATGCGACTACGCCACGGGAAAATGCACATGCAATTCGTATCGTTTCGGGTTAGATTGTTCCCAGCGTATGCACTGCATCAACTCCAAGCAGATGTCTCATGGGACTGTAGAGTCTTGCCACCGCTTCGATATGTTGTGCACGTCGTGCACCGCCGGCGCTTGTTTGGCGTGCTTGCCGGGGTACTTTCCTATCACAAATCGATGCCGTACGATGGAGTTCCTCCTGTTCTATAGCTTCATGTGGCAATAGTGCCTTGTTCCACGTACGACCCCCGGTGCATTACCTGTGACGACCAGCGGTGCCTCTCGTGTGGAGACTTTATCCTCAACTCGGTGCGGCGCAGTGGTGCCCGTGCTGGCATCGATCCGTCCACCTCTCCCCTTGAAGAACCGACTCGGGAATTTTCATTTCTCTCCGTGTACGGCAGCCAGCACCCCCAAGTGTTTGATGAAGCAGAACCATTCGGGATCGTGCGTGCTATCCCGCCTTCCCTTTCCTGCACGCAGGGAACGTCCATGGATGCTTCGTTCGCATGCGTGCCGCTTCCTCGCAGCCACGTCATTTGTGGCCACTCGGGGACGCTATCGTTTTCGTCGCCGACATACGAGATTGCTGAGAATGCGCCATGGATTCCAGTCACAGTCACACGAACTGGCGGCGGCGTCGGCTCCGTTGCCGTCACATACGAGCTCATCCACTTGACCACGTCTGACCAAGACGTGAGCGCCACGGCGTTCTACACATCGAGCCAACGCCTTGAATTCCTCCCGGGGGTAACCTCCATCACGTTTTTCATCACCATCCACGACAACTTCGTTCGCAACGAGAACAAAGAGTTTCTCGTGGCGCTGCGAGATCCCACGTCTGATGCGACGCTCGGGAACCAAGACAATGCAGTCATCACAATCCTGGACAACGAGCCTGCGTCTCCGCGATTGACCGTACAGACCAAGCCATGGGGCACAGCAGGGACCCCGTTCTCCCTCAAGCTGTTATCATCGTCCACCACGTCGGCAAGCCGTTGGGTTGTCGTTGAAGCTAAGCTGACGCCTGCGCTGGCTGACACCAACATGGAGCAAATTTTCCTTCCTTTTGCAGCTGGTTCGTGGCTAACTACGTGGACACCCACGAGGCGCGGCAATTACTCGCTGTCGTTCTTTCAGCTCTTTGGCACAGGACTGCGAGGGCACTACTTTGCCAATGCGTGGCTTCAGGTAAAAGTCCATGGCAACTAAACGTTTTATGGACACTTGTAGGGGCCACCAAGAGTCAAGCGAGTCGATCGAGCGTTGAATTTCACCTGGGCAACGGACAAAGCAATGTGGAACCCATTTCACTTTGGAAGTGCCCGTTGGAGTGGGTACTTGCAGGCTGCGGCGTCGGAGCTCACGTACTTTCGAGTGGTCACAACGGGAAGCTTTCGGCTCTGGCTCAACGGTACGACCCGTTGACTCGATGTCGCGAGCGTGGATGACACGACTTGACCAGGCAAACTCGTGATTGATGCTTGGCTGCCGCTGGATTCGCAGAACTGGGGGGCGGTCGTGCTCGAGCAAAATAAGTTGTACTCCATCACGTTCGACTACCGCCACGGAATCGCTCCTTCCACGCGGCTCAACCTGCAGTGGCAAAGCGCCTCCATCCCACTGCAGAGCATCCCAACGCAGCAATTGTTTGTCGCTCAACTCGTCGGTTCGACGTCGGTGACGATTCTTCCGTCCAGTCCAGTGCCAAACGTCATTTTCCAAGGCAATACTTCAGGCGTTGCTGGGGCGGTCTATTCGTTCGCGTTCTATTCACTGGATGGACAGGGCAACCTGCGGCGCCAGTCCGAAACAGAATTTCGAAGTGTCCTGACGCTCCAGTCGTCTCCACAAACGAATGTCGACGTGGCGCTAGCGTACGATCCGTCGACTCAAAAGATGCTGGCGCAAGCTCGCCCGGTTGTGATGGGGCTGTACTCGTTGCAGCTTTTCCTCAACCAAGTTCGAGTCACTGGGTTCCCCATCGATGTTCAAATCGCGTCATCGCCGTTTGCTGGTCCTCGCTCCGACGTGTTCGGCCCTGGTGTCGCTCCAACTGGTGTCATCGCTGCAGCGCGAGCAACCATGACGATCCGAGCGAGAGATCTGTATGGCAATACGATGTCTCAAGGAGGCGCCGAATTCACTGTACATCTCTCCAACCAAAATCGTTCCTTTCACCCACAGTATGTGTAGGTTCGGGCTGTGTCGGGAGTCCAGGCCCTCGTGGATCTGGGCACCGTCGTCAACAACTTGGACGGCACGTACACAGCTTGGTACATCCCTCGCTTTTCTGGCGCATACTCGATTGAGGTCCTCGTGAACAAGATGCACGTAGCGCAGAGTCCATATGCGATTTCAGTGGCGCCAAACGAACCGTTCGGGCCATCGTCGCACTTGGTGTCTGGTTTGGGACTCACGTCTGCAACGACGGGACTTCCCTCGACGTTTGTCGTTCAGTTACGCGACGTCAACGGCAATTTGATCACGGCTGGTTCGGCGGCGGTCACTTGCACACTCGCCACATCGACCTGCGTCAACATGCTCAACGGTCAATACAGCTGCACGTACACTCCAACGGTTGCGACGCCTACGATGGTGCTAAGCGTCCAAGTCAATTCGATGCCGATCAAGAACAGCCCGTTCGTAATTCCAGTGACGACGGGAGCAATTGCGACTTCGACTTCGGTTGCCAATGGCACTGGGCTGCTGTACTCGTTCGCAGGTCAAGTGACCAAGGTGAACATTCAAGCCAAGGACATCTACGGGAATAATCGCATGGGTGCAGACACGTTGACTGGACAGCTTGTCCTTCCCAACGGCGCTCCGACCACGAATACGTCGGTGACGATTGCGTACCTCTCGAAAGGTTACCATGAACTCTCGTATCAAGTATTTGCAGCGGGGAGCTACCTCCTCCGCATCCAAGCGGGTGGACAAAACATCCTGAACAGTCCATTTACGATCTCAATCTACCCAGGTCCGGCCGATATCGTCCAAACGACCGCGTCCTTTGCATCCTCTCAGCCATTTCTTGCTGGGACGACAGTGGTGGCCAAGATTGAGCCGAAAGACGCGTTCGGCAACCCAGTCAACCAGCCGTACCTGTTCAGACTAAGTCCCCAAAGCATGTTCACACTCACTTCAGCCACGAATGCGGTCTACACCGTCGCCCTGACCCCAACACTTTCCGGTGTGTACACATTTCAGCCACAGATTTATTTGCCTGGCGGGGGCAACGTCACGCTGTACAAATCGCGCGACTGGAGCGGGCCGTCCGTGCTGTTTCAAACGCCAATGCCTTTGGGGGCCAACTACGGACTCAAGGTCCCTCCACTGACCGACGCGATGCGAGACTTCAGCGCCGTCTGGCGAGGCTACATCTCTGCGACGTATTCAGAGCTATACACGTTCCATGTGACTGCGTCTGGCTGCCACGTCCGCATCATGCTCAACAAGACCGAAGTTGTGCATCTGACCAAAACTGGCATTGGCCTCTTCTCGACGGCGCTCACGGCGGCTTCCATGATGTACTTGGAGATCTGGGTATCGAAGGCAAGCGATGCCGGGCCAGTAAAGTACAAGGTCACGTGGTCGAGTTTGTCACAGCCCGAACAGGACGTGCCAGCCTCGAGCCTTTTCTCGTTATGGCGCGTCACGTCGCTGTCGCCGACTTTTTCGGTGTTTCCGAACGCCCCGTTTCCACCAAATTTTGAGTTGAGCCCGATGTCGCCGACCCAGTGGACGGCTGGAACTTCCGTTGTGCTGACGGTGGTGGCCAAAGACGCGTTTGGAAACGTGCGGGATAGAGGAGGGGACAGTCTCCAGGTGCTGCTCTCCAGTTTCAACCAGCAGCTGCCGGTGAATTTTAACGTCCAAGACATTCAAGACTTCCGCAATGGCACGTACGGTGTTCGAATCGTATCGTTCTCGAGCGGAAATCTGAGCCTCACGCTGGGGGTGCACGCCTCTCCGGTCCATTCGTCCATCAGCGTCTACGGTTTTGAACAGAGTTTGGCCACGATACGGGGGAACCCTTTTCTCATCTCGGTGGCTCCAGCCATCATTTCACTCGAATCGACGGTCTTTACTGGCCCCGGACTGGTGGCTGGCATCGCTGGGGTCACGCTGTCCTTTTCAATGGCCCTGCGAGATGCTTACTTGAATGCAGTCGCTGTTGCGCCGTCCGGCCTGGTCGTGTTTCTCACGCGAGACGTTGCGACGAGTGTCGTTGGGAAATGGACTTTCGACGTGGCCACTCGCGAGATCACTGTGGCATTTGTGCCCGAGGTGGCTGGCATATATGCCATCAAGCTCCAGCTCGGGACGGCGACATACACCCCTCTCGACATCCAGCCCCTCATTCGGCCCAATGTCTCGAACGCCACGACCAGTCAAATTGTCTTCGCTGGTCCTGCACTTGCTCCCTTTACCGACCAGCAGTCGTTCTCGGTCGTACTCTACGATGCTTACGGGAACCCCGTCGGTGTCGGCGGGGATCGCGTGGCGGTCACTGTGAATGGGGCCGCAGCTGCCGTCGCTGATGTTGTGGACAACCTGGATGGCACGTACCAGGTCCACGTGGCCCTTCCGTCCCGCGGAGTCTTTGAGATCACCACTCTGCTCATGCAACCCAATTCGTTCGGCCTCGCTGGTAAGTATTACCCCAACACGACTACGTTCACCGCCGAGATGACGCGCATCGACCGAGTCATCGACTTGACAGGCATCGACACGCCCAAAATCGAGTGGACCGGGTTTCTCCTTGGCACCTTCACCGAAACTTTTCAGTTCGACCTGGTCGGATGTCGACTCTTCATCGACAACGTCGCCGTCCCCTCCAGCTCCACCGTCCTCCTCATCGAGACGCACTTGCATGTCGTGCGTGTGGAAAGCTTCCCAGGCGCCGCCACCATCCAAATGAGATACCAAAGCGCCCGCACGCCGGCACAAATCGTTCCCTCTACCGTGCTGTTTCCCACAGCCACCGAGATCGGTCCCCGGCTTCGCCTCACCGGCTTCTAGCAACTGGCTTGCCCAACAATATATTATGTGCTTCACTGTTCAAAAGTCAAACGCTAACTCATCGCTTCCCAACAAATCGTCTCCGAGCTCTTCCTCGATGCCGTCCATAAATGTAAACTCGTCTTCGTCTTTGAGCAGTTCCGGCGGACATGCAATCATTTGTTGTACGGGAGTCGCCGCTTTCGGTGTCGGTGCGGCAGAAGGCGGAGTTGGTTTCGGGGATTCAACTTTATCTGCTTTCACTGGGGTCGGTGTTGCAGGTTTTGGAGGGGCCGACGGCAAATTTGCCGGCATGGGGATCGGCTGCGGTGCTGCCTGGGGTGTGGGGGGTTTGACAGTCTGTGGAGTTGGTGCTGGCTTTTTCATAGGCGGCTGCTGGTCTGCCTCCATCACCGACGACCCTCGTTTCAGTGGAGCCGTCGACTGCGATGGTGCAGCTGGCTCCTTCTTCTCGACTGCGTTCGCTCTTGCTTCCTCCTCCATGGACTTTTCCATCTCGCCGGCATCCCGCACCAGCGCACACACGACACACGCCGGGTTGGTGCATTGCTGAAAGTGCGACAACACGTACTTGGAGCTCAGGCAGTGTGCATACGCGCAACTCTCTGACTTTTTGCACCCCATGACGTGAGTCCACAGCTTTTTCATCTCGGCGCAATACGGCAGGACGCACTTGTCCGTGGGACAGAAGAGTGCGTGGCGGAGGTGCAGGAGCCTCTGCTGCTGGCGCTCGAGAATCGTCTGGTTTTGGGCCACACACTTGACGTGCATCATGCCCAGCACCTTGGCGTGGTATTCCTGGGTCTGCCTCGTCGTCAGCATATTGGCAGCCCCCTTCGCCTTTTCTGTAAATTGTCGGATCTTGTCTGCAGTGTGTTGGGGCTCCGTCCTGATGTCTCGAAGAGGAAGGCATACGACGCAGTTGGGCTTGGCGCAGTGCTGGTAGTGCGCCAAAACATACTTGGAACTCACGCAATGCGGCGTCGAACACGTGTCGGCTTGTCTGCACGTGAGCACGTGGGCCCACAACGGCTTCATCTCGTGGCAGGACGGCTGGGTGCATTTTTCCAGCTTGCACTCGCTCGCGTGTCGGAGTTCGAGAAGCCGCTGCTGCTGTCGCTGTAGAATGGATTGGTGCTGAAGTTGGGTCGAGTCGTTCATCATAAAGTCAACCTTTTGGTGGTAGTCGCGGATGATGTTCTCCGGGAGGGTGCTACTGATAATTTTGGCTTGGGAAGCAAAGTGCGACTGCGGCTTTCCTTCGTCCTTGAGCTCGAGGGGCATTTGGAGGGGTTGGTGCGACATAGCTGCTCCGACGAGGTGATGGGGCGGAAGGCTATTTTGTTTGAACTGTTGTTGTTGTAGGTGTTGTTTTTGCTGCTGTTGGACCATGTGATTGAACTGGTGCTGCTGTTGGAGTGAGTTGGTCGGTTGGGGCTGCGGTGGCTGATTGAGGGATGCACAAACAACACACGTGCTCTTCATGCACTGCTGGTAGTGCGCCAACACGTATTTCGAACTCACGCAGTGCGGCGTCGAGCAGTTCTCGTTCTCTGGACACGTTTGGATGTGGGCCCACAGCGGCTTCATCTCAGCACACGCAAGCTGCGCACACTTGTCTTGCTTGCACTCGCAAGCGTGTTTGAGCTGCATGAGCCGCTGCTGCTGCCGCATCAGCACGACGCGGTGCTGTCCGATGTTCTGGATCATCGTGAGCACTTTGTGGTTGTACTCGGTGATCGTTCGCGGCGTCAAAATCGATGCAATCGCCCGGGCGTTGTCGAGAAACGGGTTGTTAAGCTCTGCTGGCATTGCAATCGCCTCCATCTTGGCAGGACCGGATGGGGCTGTCGGTGCCGTTGGGAGCTCCGTCTTGGGTGCAGTCGTCGGCGGGGGCACTCCCTTCTTCTGATTGTTCTTGTGAATTTCCGTCGCGACAACTTGCAACCGCTCCTTCAGTCGCGCGTTGTCAGTGTACTCGGCCTTGGATGTTGCCTTTTGGTACAGCATTTCCTCGAGCTTCTTAGCCATGTGTGGCAGTCGGTTGATCCAGTCGGGCGTCGCATTTGGGTTTTGTGCGCGCAGCAGCATCACGATGCGGTGGATGAGGTCTTGCCGGATCCCATTGTCGTCTGTGGACCGCCAGTCCTTGTTCTTGAATTCCTGCGCCACGACATGTAGCCGTTGCTGCAGTGTATTCATGTCGTTGTATTCTTGCTTCGAGTTAGCCTTGCGGTACAACGCTTCCTCGAGCTTCCTTGCCATCTGAGGCAGCCGTCGTATCCAGTCGGGCGGGGCGTTGGGTTTCTGCATTTGAAGGAATCGAATGATGCGCCCGATCACGTCCTTTCGTTGGGGGTCGTCGGACGGAGACCGCCAACTACCAGCGTTGTTGTTGTTCGCGTTGTTGGCAGCGGACGTCGCTGTGTTCACCGCAGATGGCTGTGCAATGGACGGGTGGGGCTGTTGTGGGGTCCCGAGGCCGTTGGTGGCCGGGGCTCCCAACATGCCAGAGTTGCCGCTCAAGTTGGTCTGGTTGTTGTTCATATTGAGCATATTTTGCTGCATGAACTGCATATACTGCTGCTGCTGCGCCTGGAGCATCTGGTGCTGCTGCAACATGTTGAGGTTCTGTGGTGCGTACCCGCCAAACATCGGATTGTACTGCATTTGCTGCATCGCGGGACTCATGTACAGATGAGGGTTCATTCCAGCCGCCATCATTGGGTTCATGCCCATCATCGAAGTTGGATCCATGACACCGCCGCTGTTCAAGGTTGCCGCCGCCGGGGTCAGCTTTGGGGGATCGCCGCCCAGTTCCGGCGGAAATTCAATCGCAGCCGATCCCAAGTCGTCCATCGAGTTCGATGCCGAAGGGTTATACATCGACGCCATATTCGGAGGAACTCCCATGTACATCATGCTTTGCATCGCGCCCATGTTCATCGGCATGTTGAGGCCGCCTGTGCCGATGCCGTTGTTCTGTGGCATCGAGAAAGCACCGGCCCCAAATATGTTTGGGTTGTTACCGTTCGCTCCCCCCATACCAGTCATCATGAAGTCTTCTTCCACAAACGTCTTGTCCATGTGAGTAGGCCGCTTCGCCGTTCGGTGTGCCGGTGGACTCTACACAGTCAAAGTGAGGTCCCTGCACCCACATGACTCTGAAAACGCATGTCTCGCGAGTACTCGAGACTTCTTCGTCACACAGGCATCGCCATCCGCCGTACCTGATTCGAAGGGGGCGTCTACTCGGCCAAGAGCTCGCTCACCTTGTCGTCCTTAGGCCTCCTGCGAGATAACTCCAAATGGGGTTTCTTGATAAGTAACAGGAACTACGGCTATCCGGATAAATATTCCAGGAGAACGTTAGGACTTGAGTTTTGAATCGAATACGACGGCAGGGCGATGACCACATCCGGATACCTCCTGCCGCGCATGGGTCCAAGCTTAACCCTCCATCTTGTGGCCCGCGGTGAATATTATCTTGGATTTTGTATGGTTCTTTAAACTTTTGAACTCCGTCTGAACAGTTAAAGTTCAGACGGCGAGGAGACACGACATACAAATATCAAGGTAAATTTACGAGTATCACAAATTTCGTACAAGGGATCTCGGCTTAGCCTCAATTGTCCAAGGAGCTTCTGCTGCTCCTTTTAGCGTGATATCTTCTACGTGATATATGTTGTTCGTACAGGCGGCCATTCGCCCAGCAAACACCTTGAAATTCCTGTGTTTAAAGCGCATATGCCGTTTACCTCATTCTCGCATGAGAAGCATCGTCGTCACTTGAATTCTTCAAATCCTCCTATTTTTGGCGAAATCCCTTAAGTAAGACAGGACGTCAAACTCGACCCCCTTTCGCTCCTACAACACTTGGCCACGTCAGAATTCCACTTGGCGACGCCTGCGTATTTTGTACCTCTGTTGCATCAAGCACACTCCATGGAGCTGAAGCTAACCCCAGCAATACGTCACTACCCCATTGGCGTTGACATTGTGGGCAATTCACATGGATTTCCCTTAATCGAGTAGATTTTCGGCCGTCAACATTGGTGGAGATTCGTCGTCGAGGAAGAGTGTACTTTGATAAAACCGTCCTGCCAACCTTTAAAATTTGATATGTCTCCACAGTCGAATTCACCTCACCCTGGATCGGCGACGTCAGGGCGACACCTCGATGTCATGAATCGACGCTGAACTTTTGTCTGCTGCGCTCATTCCACCCTTAGATGGGAGTCTTCAGCTAAACCCGCATTTTTTCGAGCTGCGTGAAGCCGTTAAGCGAATGGATCTCGAACAGACGCAAGGTCGTGTCGTTGCTTGCAGCGGCTGTCAAACTTATACGCGACGATCATGGATGGATCTGTCTGCAATCAAGTCTCCAACAGTTTATAATTGTGTTTGCCCATATTGCTAATCAACCCATGTTAACCACTGTGGTCGACGGTGTGTCGACTTTGAGCCCACTCCAGGCCTTCCTCGTCCTCGCGTGCATCCTCATCGCCCTTCTTCTATCGGCATGCTATACGATCTCCATATACAGCTCCCCGATCGCGCTACTTGCGTTTGGTTTTGGCGGGTATTCGTTGCTACAGCGCCTCGCCACCGCGTGCGGTGTCCTGTCACCACAACCTCACGTCGGCATCCAAGCTCCCGACGCCATCCGCTTTGTCTGCATTTCAGACACCCGCGGGAAACATGACAGGGTGAAGCTTCCTCCGGGCGATGTACTCCTTCATGCTGGGAACTTCGTTTCGCACGGATCGCAGGAAGAAGTCGCCAGGTGCTCAGCTTCATTGCATCGCAAGTGCTCACTTCGCGTATCTAGATTCAACACTTGGCTTGGGTCCCTTCCTTATCGCCGAAAAATTGTGATCTCGGGCCATCTGGAAACCCAGTGTCCCATCTCGTGGGCCAAGATCCTGACAAACTGCGACTACTTGGACCATTCCAGCGTTTCTATTGACGGCGTGTCCATCTTTGGATGCCCATCCGTTGCCCCAGATCGACTTCACCAGATTCCTGCGCACACGGATGTTGTCGTGACAAGCGCGGCTCCATTTGGCATCCTCGACAAAACGTTGGTCGACGGCACCCACGTCGGTGACGAAACCCTGCTCAAGCAAATCCTGACGCGGATTCGACCGAAACTGCACGTGTTCGGTAGCGTCCAAGAAGCGTACGGGAAGACAGTGATGGGAACCACGACTTTCGTGAACGCATCCGTCACCACGTACATGCGTCAGCCCTCCAACGCCGCCTGGATCATCGACCTTCCCCGACGAAGTGCAAAACTTTCACCAACGTAACTTATTACCAAAGTCGTGAACACCCAGGATGTACACTGTTGTGGTTGTACTTGAGGCTTGTAGCGTCTGTATGGCACCGTCGCGTTCGTTGAGAGGGATTGCTGCTGCTCATCTCGATGTAGTGAGTACTTTTATGGAGTCGTCGAATTGGGTTGCACAACACCGCCTTGTCGATGCCAATTCTAAACAACGTGATCTCCGATCATTACGACGATGCAATGAACCAGGCGAATTGCGACCACATGCACGAATACATGCCCACGAAGAAAGAAACCCTGAAGTACAAAACCCCCGAAGTGACGCGCGATATGGCTACAAGCGTTGCAAACCAATCGAGAATGCGCTTTGAGGCTGAGAAAGCATTGCGTCGATGCATTCGCTCTCGTTTTGACGTCTTTGGAGAATCCAAGGCTCGGTGTACTGGGAGCGAAGCACTCTTGTCCGCCGCTGCACCTCGTTGTTGATGTGCATCGGTTTGAATCCCTTGGGTGTATCGTCTTGTTCGACGACGAGATGGTGGGTGCCGTGTGGCTTTTTTCCACACGGGTGTGGGGCTGTTTCCTTCGATCTGGCGGCCCCTCGTGTCTGTCTGTGCATCCTGGGCTTGATTTCCTTATGTGGCAAGAGTATTGAATGCCAAACAGCACAACATGAGATTGCCATCGGACGCTGCCGCAAGTGTTCCAACACCACCACGTGGATCGAGACGCTGGACTAGGTCCCGACGCGACGTCAGCCGGCCAGGTTTCAAACATCACGATCCACAAGAGGGTCGAACACGAAGTCAATGCCAAATCCTCGATCGTCAATGCGCAAGGCGTCCGCACGTACAACATCTTATATGTCATCACGATTGACCATCACCACACGTACTCGAACAATTGAAACGATATAACGCAGCGCCTCAAACGACTGCCACAATGAAGTTCGAGGTCGGCACGAACTCCACCAAGTACTACAAGAAGGACAACCCGCTGAATGGCAAGACACGGTCCTGCCGTGTCGTGGGATTGAGGGGTTTC